GGGGGTAATGCTATATATAGCACAGCGAGATAAATAAATACATACCTTTTGACAGGACAAAATCGTTCCCATAGAAGTTGATCCCGACAAAGATCTTTTCAGCCAATCTCCTACCTTTGCTGCCAGCACCCGCAAGAAGATGCAAGGTCGAGTGTATCCACTTCAGAGGTGCATTGGGACCTGGATTATAAGGACTTGAATAGTCATACGTCATAAGAGAGAAACCATCTACAGCATCACTCAGGGCTTGTAAATCTTCTGGTCCAAAATCATGCTCCTGCAGCTTATCTGTACGTGGTGGACCTATCACATACACTAACTGTAGATTTGTTTTGCCATTCCTGTCTAAGAGCACAGAATGCATAGCTTCTCCAAGTTGCTTTATAAATTGTAATGCCTACACTTGCAAACCATCAAAGAAGTTAAGAAAGACCATCAGCAATCTTGTAAACTCCTTTCTCTAAAAATCTTGTGAACTACTTCTCCATATAGCCAAATTACACTCACCCATGGAGAGTTCCTTAAGTTTAAGAAAAGAAATTATAAATTAAGAAGGTTCAAATCATCTTACCAAAAGGTCAAAAATGTATATTTAAATGTCAAACTCCCCTGATCCTCTAAAATCTTTTAACATACATCTCCGTGTCCATTTTGTAAATTGACTTATACGAACAAAGGAAACAACAGACAAGAGTGGGCTGCTCTAGCGGTGAGCACCCTCCACTTCCAACCAAGAGGTTGTGAGTTCGAGTCACCCCAAGAGCAAGGAAGGGAGTTCTTGGAGGAAGGGAGCCAAGGGTCTATCGGAAACAGCCTCTCTACCCTAGGGTAGGGGTAAGGTCTGCATACACAATACCCTCCCCAAACCCCACTAGTGGGATTATACTGGGTTGTTGTTGTTGAACAAAGGAAACAACAACTGACACCTGTTTTAATGAGGAAAATAATGTGTGCCTTTAGAACCTAAACTTCATTGTAGTTGTGTTTCACATCCAATCTTACCGTTGCAGTGCATGTAGCCAAACATCTTAGGCACAGACACCAAACAGAAACAGCAACTCGGGGATTTAGACTTTTAAATGTTTTTCATCATTTTTATTATTTCTTTATATAGAGAACTTAATTGTTCTTCCAGAAGGATGCACCACATTCTCACAAGCCAATTAGTCAAAATAAAATGGATAAATTACTACAATTGACTTATTGTATAATTATTTTTATGGACGAAGCTGACTTTTGTTTAATTTACAGCCAGAAGATAAAAAGTTATTGATAATAAAAGTAGAAATTTTATGACATAAAAAACGTTAGGAGACTATTAATTCTTTACAAGACCCATTATACACCAAAAGTAATGTGGGCTCAGATAATGCCAATTCGGACCTCCTCAATGAATGATTGTTCCAAGGACTGATTAGAACGGCATTGTTCAAAGGGGCAAGGCTCCTTGGCATATATTTGTAACCAGCATACTCACATAGCCATTTAACAAAATCAAAAGAAGAAAGAAACGGCTAACTATACCTATTTGAAGCAATATCAGTGGGCAACCTGAACCATTGTTAAGCTTAGATTTGCAAAGGAACTGATGGGCAAATATGTTTATTCGTAAGCGAGTGATACGTAAATAATATAATAATAATTATGGAGTCTAGTACATCTCCAAAAAAAAAATTTGATGAAGGAAATTTCATTAAATGGCATCAAGAAGATGCATAGCAAAAAATATATCTCCAAAACTTTAGGGCTTTTGATATTTATTTCCCAATAATTGAAGGCCTTTGGCACTTCAATGACAATTAGAGGGGTTGCGTAGATTGAAAGAGTTGGGAAATAATGTTCCACCTTGTATTTACTACTCCCTCCATCCCAATCTATATAGCGGGTGTTTGACTGGATACGGAGTTTAAGAAAGAAAGGAACACTTTTGAAACTTGTGGCCTAAAACAAACCATAGACATTTGTGTGGCTATAAATCTATTCATTAAGGGTAAAGTAGGAATTCTAAAGATAAATTGTTTTTGTATACAAAAAGGTGACATTCTTTTTGGGACTGACTAGAAAGGAAAGAATGTCATATAAATTGGGACTGATGGAGTAGTAAAGAGAATAGACATTTCTACATAGGTAATAAACTACTGATTTTACCGGAAAACCAGTATCAAGGTAGTGGCCTAACTGTAAATATTATGATACATAATGTTTGGCATTTACCTCAGTTGGGAAGGAAAAAATGATTCTCCCCAACCAAAAACAGAATGAAAATGTGAAGTCTTAGCGTTGCATATGCTCTGTTTAGTGTGACATTCTCAAATCACTGATGAAACCATTTTGCGATTAATGGGAAAAAACTTGCTTTCTTTAAGAGCACAAGTCAGTCAATTTTCCTTACAACTCTCTCTAGTAAATAATATTTTTCACTTTTGCAATCAAACGGCGCCTCAATACCAAATAAGTTGGGTCGGCAAGAGATACAACAAGAGGACTTCCCAAGGATGTCACATCATAGTACTCTTGGACAAACATGTATAATTCTGGAGTTATTATGGATCCGATGCAATCCAAAAATGAAAATTGAAAAGTATAAGATAGGATCTTATAAAAATTAGGGGTCAATTATTTTGGAGAAGTTAGAACCACACACCATCTTATAAAAACAACAAAGCGTGTTATTAGTTCAGGCTCTAAGTGTATTACTAAAAGGAAAAAGCCACGAAGTAGAAGAAAGAAGGTAAGCACTTAACCATATTTCTCTTATCTGAATCATGCAAGATGCCATAAGCTACCCATCTTGACCAGGATTCAAGCACAATACCATCATACTCCAGTTCCCTACATAAGATAAAAGGATCCCAAAGTATCTGGATGAAGAAATTGTATAGACAGAAAAGGTATAGTAAATTTGTAATTGCATTTCCAACCACTGAATGAAGGTTACTATTTGTAACAGTAAAGGAAGTCAGCAATCATTATTGGTAGGATAAAGATATTAAATCAGCTACAATATCACTAAGCAAATTTAACCAAAATAAGTAGGTAATAGAATGAAAATCATTAACAATCACTCACCAGATACACATTTGGAAAAACTTATCTCTATAGTCCAAACCACGAACAAAACTATCCGATAGAGCATACACTTTTTACTTCATAATACTATGCATAAATTATTCATACACTATATTTGTGCACAGCACAGGTGGCAGCAAATAGCACCAATTTAACTTATTCAACTTGCAAGAGTTGAGTACTCACACCATCCCCTTCCTCCCACCTTCAAGGAAAAAGTCAATAAAGATAAGAAAATTCAAGCAGACAGCTAAAACAGAGACTCACTTGCACTCCGTTATGATAAGGTTGATTGCTTTCTCCCTAAGCCTCTTCTTCTTAAGCAGGTCCACTGGAATTGCCTCCAGGACAACTCTAGGTAAAATCTATAAATTGAGAACATGAAAAAGAAGACCATTAGACAAGTTGGTGACCCAACTAAAGGTTAAAATTAGAGGATTAGTTAATTCTCAGTTGTTAGCATCATCTCTATAGGCTTCTCTATTGAGGGGACCTGTTAGGCAACGGCAAGCCGTACCAAGAAAAAAAGCTTTCTTGGGAGCAAGTGGTAGAACAAGTACTAAACAAACAGAATTCCAGATGCCTTTGACCCCCAGCCAACCCCAACCTCCCTCGGCTTATCAGAAATAAAATATAGTGGTAAAAGAACCAAGTCTAAGCAGTAAACCAACACTTCACCCTAAATTTGACTCCTGATGAAATCATGTTTCCCCCTTTTGTTCTCTTCACGGTGTTCCAGCTGTATGAGTGCCATAAATTACATAATATATCTGCAATAATTTACATTTCAATGTGGTTCGCTACCATACCAGAGAATTTCCTTTCATTCGAATGTCTGAAATCCATCCTCTATCAGCATTATGTCTTCCACTCAGAACTAATTTACTTCCTTCACTGGCATCACAAAGTACAAGAGGTAATGATATTAAACAGTGGAAATGCTTATACTACAAGCAGTTCTTTTGTAATCATAAGATATTGAAGAGTATTCCAGATATTGCAGCCCCTCGAAATCAGTACCCATTCCTATACTAATAAATTTTGATTCATTGCTTTCATTTATTTGATAGTAGCAAGGACCTGGTGTTTGTAGAGAAAAACAACAAAATAAAAATATATCTAACAGCTTAGCCTCTGTTCTCAAGAGAAAGATCAGGCTTTAAAAATAATCATCTCATGGAGAATGTCACGGAGCCAATTGAAAAGCATAAAAACACATAGTTTAAGATAACTGCATTATGCTTCAATGTATCCCCAAGGTACTTTGATTATTCGACAGTTAAGGTAATCATGAGTTCACTTACTTCTTCAGTTCATACCAAACAGGTGACAGATGTGTAATTTTAGAACTGAACTTCTTCGCCAGGTCATAGCCTTTTGAATTCCTGCACCATTGGTCATACCGTCATGAACTGTAGAATCCAAAGCTACATCTATCACTGTCAAAACAATTTCTTTTAGTGGGTAGTTCCGGCAGAGAAGGGGTATTGGAACATCTAAGAAATTTCTATTCAGCATTCTTTCATGCTAAAATGAACAGAAACAAGCTAATAAAAGGTTCCCCCTTCTCAAAGTTTTAATTTTTCCACATTTATCCATCACTTGAATCCTCACCGATTGAAGAATTTTCCTGTCACGAAATAACCCCTTTGCTTAAAACAAAAACAAACTACTACTATAACTCCTCCTCGATCCCAAAGTAGTTGGGTCGACTATAAGAATCCTCTATATCCATTCCACCTATGAAGACTCATCATAATTTAACTATTTTTAGATTAGCTATCAACCTACTGCAACCATCCTCCAGCTCAACAAACCTCAATAGCCACATAACTGGAGTTCTACACTAAAAATAATTCCTGTTCAAGTACATGACATTTTGAACATTACCTAGAGCAGGTATTATAATCTAGTACTCCCTCCATTCCAAAAAGGATGGAACTATTTTTGTACTAGTCTATTCCAAAAAAGAATGGCCCTTTTCCAAATTTAAAAACAATTCAACTTGAACTTCCCGACTAACCCTTAATGACAAAGCTTTTAAAGCCACACAAATGTTATGGCAGGTTTAAGACCACAAATTTCAAAAGTCTTATAAACATACAAACGTTATGATATATCTAAGACCATAAGTTTCAAAAATCTTCCTTTCTTAAATTTCATGTTAAGTCAAATAAGTTCACAAAAATTGAAATGGAGGGAGTAGGATTTAGCGTCTAAATCAGTTTATATTCTCTTATCCTTTCCAACCACCAACCACCCAAAAAGATTAAGAAACAGGTGGATTTGACATATACAAATTAATACTTCCTTTGTTCCAGTTTATCTGACACCATTACCTTATTATTCCATTCCAAAAATAATGACATATGTCTATATTTGGAAACATCTAACTATAAACTTCCCAATTATTCTTAATGAGAAAGCTTTTATAGAACACAAATATTATGGCATGTTTTAACATCACAAGTTTCAAATGTCTCCTTTGTTACTTACAACTCTGAGCCGAGTCAAATTATGTCATATAAATTGAAGCAGTAACAATTAAACATAATTCAACAAAGAGTTAAACAAATGCAAATACCATGGAGTAATATAAGCCAGGACATGATTCCTAAAATGCCGCTGACTTATATTTTCTGAGACTTTGGTATTCTCCTGCAATTCTTAAAATTCACCAAATAAATCAAAAATAAATAAATATTTTTTTTACAAAAGAAATAGAAATTGGCGGAGTAGAAAATGTACAGTGAGAATTTCACGGTAGGTTAAATCGGCTTTAACTCGGCCACGCTGGTAAACATAGGGTCTGTTACTATCAACATCACGAACAGTAGTAGAGAAATAGTAATTTTGACGGTAAATAAGTAAAAAAATTGCAACGAAGAGAATGCAGAAGGTGGTGAGCCAACGATGTTGATTTGTGTGAGATTTTACTGAGCCGTGGGTCCGGTGGTTCTGGGATGAGGACTCGACTCTTTCGGACCGGTGGCTCGAGCTCGGACCTACTCGTCTGCTTCGCTTCTTAGCCATTTGTGATCGACACTGATATAATTCGAATTGGAGTTGAAGGAGAGAGTTGATTAATAGAGTGGAAGTTAACAATTGCACATCAGTTTCTATTTTCACATTTTGGGGTGTGTTTGGTAAGATGGAAATCATTTTATGCAAAATGTTATTCAATTTTTTCATATTTTGTTGGTTTAAATGTTTTGTAAAATATTTTTTCTCACAAACTTATTTTTCTCTTTTATAAGAAAAATTAAATTATGGTAGATGTCTACTTTTCCTCGGTGATCTTCTCAAATGCTTAATGACATATTAAATGACATATTTCTATGCTTAATGACATATTTTTTTCACTTTTCATGCATATATAAAGGTCTTGTAATAGATAGAAAAAGACACACAATTGAAAAATAAAATCTCTTCTTCTCTCTATCTCCATTTCTTGTTCATGTTTTACTAAATTATTTTTATTTCATAACATGTCTAGTTCATGTTTTATTAAGTTGCTTTTATTTTATAACATGGTATCAGCACGAATTGCTCATTTCATGATCTTCTACGTCAAGACTATGTAAATTATAAGCAGACAATGAGATCAAGTACAATGAAAAATATCTTGGATGATAATACAAAGATAAGTTTTACATCTATCTAAACACATTCATACTTTCATATCTTTGCATTAACTTTATGTGCAGTATTTAGTTAAAATATTTTTTTTAATTGTATCCAGTGAAATAAAGAACTGGAAAGGTATGTCTTTATTTGCTACATCTCTTGTAGGACAAAGATAATATTCCAACGTATATATATGTTCTGACCTTTTACATATTATGATAGATAATTATTAAGGTAATTTAGTAATTATACTTTTACCATCACATGATGTATTTCATTGAAAGCAAAATTGGCATATATCCTAACTAGCATTTTTGTTGCAGAGGAACTGTTTCAAGATTAAAATAGTTATATATGTCTTCTTGAAAGTTAATTTACTTATGCCTGTAATTATGAAGTAATAATATTTTAAAGGCTCGAGTGCGAGTCCTAGTGAATTTTGGCTTATTATGCCAAAGATTGAGGGTAAGACGATGGGTTCACGTCCCAACGCACTATGTTGATGAAAAGACGTTGGATTCAAGTTCCAACGCATTATGGCCTAGCATGCCTTTATATGGGTAAGACATTGAGTTTGAGTCCTAATGTACCATAATGATAATAATAATAACTAAAGAAAAAATAATGTAATTTTCATGAAAAAGCATGAAGTTTGTCCCACTTGATTTGCTCTATTCTTGAAGTGAATGTGATAGCAGTGCATGATAAGTCTAAATAAAAACAAGTTGTTACCCAATGAATATGGACGTGCGAAAGGTCAAAATAATAATAATTATCAGTTATCACTATGTTAATTATAAAAAGGGAGAAATTCTTTGAAGAGAATGTGACTTGTGATAAACATTGAGATTGCATACTCATTCCTGAAAGTGAATGTGAAAATATATATGTGATAAAGACTATGCATAATAATGTACTTGTGCATGGTTGGATAAATACTACAATTTACCTCTAAGGGAGGTTTGAGACAAAGAAAGATAATAAATATTATTGTGTAGTTACATGAATATATCATTGGTCGCATACATGTGATACGCTAAAAATATTTTGTCATGCCTTATGAAAGTTATTAAAAGTAAAATTAAAGCAAGAAATTATTTTGCTTATGATGATTTTGAACATGACAATTATTATGATATGATTCTCTTTGTAAAGGAGACATTCATTATATGGACGATGTGACAAAAGATCTTGTAGTGNATGATATGATTCTCTTTGTGAATGAGACATTCATTATATGGATGGTGTGACAAAAGATCTTGTAGTACAAAAGCAGTTAAGAGCTCTGAAAGAACTAATTTGTTACTACCCGGATGAATGAAATTGTTCATGACATTAATATTGTAGTAAGTCTCAAAAGAAATATTTTAATTTACAAATATATTAGCCAAAGTGGTTGGCATATTGAGACTATAAATGAAAAGAAAATTGAATATCTTTATATTACTATAATCATACCGGGTAAATATGAAAGGTTACTTGACTTTTCTTCTATTTGTACTACACAAGTATAAGCATGATGATGCAATCACATGCCACAAGTAAACTAGAGGTTTACTGAAATAAATATTAGTTGGCATGACCGGTTGACCATCTCAGTTCAATTATGATGCGAAAAAATTAATTAAAAATTATATTGGCATATATTGAAGAAATATAAGATTGTTCAAGAATTCTCTTGTGCTGCTTATTCTCATGATATACCAGTTAAGGTTGGGATTGAATTCCTTGATCTCTGGAACGAATAAAAGGTGATAAATATATGGGCTCAGTCACCTTCCATGTGGACCGTTTACTATTATATGATTTTAATAGATGCATCTATTCTATGGTCACATGTGCATTTGTTATCAACTTGCAGTTTGGCTTTTGCAAGATTGATTGCTCAAATTATTAGAGCACAATTCCAGAATATAAATTATGATGATTTATCTTGATAATACTGGTTTAAATCCAAGTTGGTTTAGTAGAAATTGTATGCCTCCAATTATATCTAAACCATTGGTTATGAGAACAAAATTGCCAAAATAAAATTTGGTATGTGATGTATTATTTAATATACAACAGCACGTGTACGCATCTAGCCAAGTTATGATAAGTTATCCCTATCACAATCGGTTCAGGGTCAGGAACCAAATAATTTTCATCTAGAAATATGAATGTGATTTAATTGTTTCACCACAATGCACAAAGATAGATCTTTAAATAAGGCTAGGGATATGTGTTGGTGATCCCAACAATAGGGGAAGAAATGGGCAGCTTAAAAAGTAATGCATGTAATGAATTATTATGAGTACATCGAGATCCTCATACGAGAAAATGTGAACTTGAAGTTCAAGTGATAATTCATTTGCAAAATATTGTCAGGCATATTTGCTAATCCAAAACTAAATGTCATATTCAGCTGCTAATGCTCCAAATAAAATAAAGTTCATAATGAATAGAGTCTATGGCATGCATAAAGCATAATAGACTAATCGGTTCCAAAGATAAAACTCCTTGAAGCAGGAGAGGAGCAAATGTTCAATATGGTCATAATAAAGAGGCAAGTGCTCTAGAAGAGCACCACGACATAACACTTCATAAGACCTCATGGGAGAGGCTCAGGTACCTGAAAATAATAAGATAAAGAGATCTCAATAAGTTATGTCTTTATTGGGTAATAGTAGAACCGATATAAAATAATCGTCGGCGATATTGTTAATATAATGTAGTGCTCAATATTATTAATATTGACGAGGATCTTGAGTTCAAATCTGTCATGAAATTTGGACAGATAAATGATTGGCCAAATGAAAAATACGCAATGAAAATTGATTTCACCTGAAAAATATGAAGTTGGACGGATAGTCCCAACACCTGAAAGTATAAAGCTAGTGGAGGTATAAATGTGTTCTTGTGCGGAAAAATAAAGGTCAAGTCGATAGATATAAAGACGACTTGTGTCACAAGAAGATTTGTAAATATCCTAGCATTGATTATATAGAGACATGTTCTCCTGTGGTGGATGTCGCCATTTCGGTTATTAATCTGGCAATACAAGAAAAACGTGATATGCGTATAATGAAAATCATTGAAGGATTTAAATTGTTCTGAAGCATATTAAGATTTTCAAGAAATTTATTAAATAAAGCTTCAAAAATACTTATACGTATTGAAATAATCAGGGCGCGTGTGGTATAATCGCCTGAGTGAGTACTTGTTGAAAGAAGGGTACATGAATGATTCAATTTGTCCTTGTGTCTTTATAAAAAGATCTGGATCTAAATTTATTATAATCACCGTGTATGTTGATGATTTAAATATCATTGGAACTCCTGGGGAGCTTTCTAAAGCAGTAGACTATTTAAAGAAAGAATTTGAAATAAAAGATTTTGGAAAGACAAAATTTTGTCTTGGTCTACAAATTGAGTATATGAAAGATGGAATTTTTGTCCATCAATCAGCATACACTAAAATAATTTTAAAGCGATTTTATATGGATAAAGCACATCCATTCCGACCTCATGAAAATAATGAAGAGCTTCTTGGTCCCGAAGTACCATATCTTAGTGCAATTGGTGCACTAATGTATCTTTCTAACATTACAAGGTCTGACATAACTTTTTCAGTTAATGTCTTAACAAGATATAACTCTACTCCTACAAGGAGATATTGGAATGGAATCAAACACATATTGCGGTATCTAAAAGGGACTACCAATATGGAATTATTTTATGGCAATGATTGCAGTCCTGATCTTGTTGGTTATGCCGATGCTGGGTAATTATATGACCCACACAAGGCTCGATCTCAAACAGGCTATGTGTTTACATACGGAGGCACTACCATATCTTGGCGATCGACTAAGCAATCAATCGTGGCTACTTCACCTAATCATGCTGAGATAATTGTTATTCATGAAACAAGTCGAGAGCTCACCAAATCTCTACTGACGTCAACCTTCAAGAAACTAGTGTACAAGATTGGGATGCGAAGGCTCAATGATGTGAATTGATGCTCTCGTCAGGGGGAGTTAATACGCGTTGTACTCTTTTTTCCTTACAAGGTTTTGTCCCACTGGGTTTTCCTTGCAAGGTTTTTAACGAGGCAACCAAAATGCGTATTTCTAAACATGTATACTCTTTTTCCTTCACAAAGATTTTTTTTCTCATAGGTTTTTTTTTTTCCTCATAAGGTTTTAACTAGGCACATTATCTATGGACATCCAAGGGGAGTGTTATAAGAAAAATCAAATTATGGTGGATGTCTACTCTTCCTCCATGATCTTCTCAAATGCTTAATAACATATTCAATGACATATTTCTATGCTTAATGACATATTTATCTTCACTTTTCATGTCTATATAAAGGTCTTATAATATATAGGAAAAAACACACAATTGAAGAAGAAAATCTCTTCTTTATCTCTATCTCCATTTCTTGTTCATGTTTTACAAAATTGCTTTTATTTCATAACATGTCTTGTTCATATTTTACTAAGTTGCTTTTATTT